GTCTACAAACCAGTAGTTTATTGGATAGTTGCTCTGCCTCTTGAAATTGGGGCCCTATACCTTGTGGTTACTAGATAACAAAAGTTCCACGGATAAAAACGATAAAGTCTCCAAAGATCGAGATGAGTGTGACTTGATCCGATAGTTTTTACCTTGACTAGCTTAGGAACCCGTCCCTGCTAAGAGGTAACCTCATCAGATGGCCATGTTCAGATTCTACACCTATCCATTCCTTCACAGCTGTCTACAACCCCATCCGACGGTATTCTGGCCAGTTCCCCTCTCAAGTGGTAGTTCAAACGGGGTGTGACTGATTCAAACGGAGTGTGATCGAGGGGTGTGGAGAAGCTTCCCTAAGAGAGATCTAACAACCCTGGGGTGTTTCAATAATCGAGGAGCTGGAAGGAATGGCAAGCTGTTCCTGGTCCCTCGGAGAGACTTGATATAATCCGACTGGATAGCGGAAATCGGAAATGTCGGAATGCGAATTTCGGAAGTCTCAAGTTTTGAAGTCTCTTGGAGGGGCAAAACAGAACACGGAAGTTTTGAATCGTGCCGTCGTCTTTTTTACTGATTCTAGCCTTTTGCCTGCATACAGAATTTGTAATGGAACATTTGAACTACTTCTCGATTTTCTGTTTAAAAAGGCCTGAATACAGACTCTCTTATAAAAAATAAATTCGTAGTTACGAATTTGCTACAGGTTTCCTTCTTGACCTTCATTTTCCACGCTTAACTGGTAACGAAATCTTCTACCTGATTCTTTACGTTCTCTGCAGAGTATCAACATTTATGCTAATAAAGCTATTGCTAGATAGAAGGTGCAAGAGGATTAGAGTAGATAAAGTCAGATTAATGCCAAAATTCGCCTGAGTGGATCGGGTTTCCCTGCAGTTCACGTAAACCTAGTCCCTTGGCCTCGAGAACCGGATCTCTATGACCTGCAGACCATCGGAAATTGATCTTTGCGGGTTGGTCCATTTTGACGGAAAAACTTCGTTTTTTTGGGCTAAGCTTAGTCAAAAGAGGGACTGCCTGAGCAATCTTACGTCCTTTTTGAATATAACCACGGAATTCAATGGTCTCGCATAGGTCAGACCTTGAGAGAATGCAGCTCTGGAGAAGTTCTTATCTAGGCCGGAGACATATTCTGCATTCGGTTGATCCCTTATACTATCTGAGCACTATGAACTTTCAAAGTAGACGTTTACAACTACTCAATCTTCGATTTTGATTCGTATAGGACCTTGAGAAGTACCATGCCCATGTAGTTTTTCATGAGAATACCATGAAAACTCACCTGGTCGCCGACCAGCGTGACGGTACTCCCAGACCCCTTCGTGTGAACATCTTGATACCCTGTATCGTCCAGTGAACTCTTCTGTTAACCATCTGAAGGGCTGGAGACATGGCGAGGTAGACGTAGGCGCACGAGAGTCCGCACTCTGCGAATGGGGGCAGTGCTTAGTACGCCCTGATACAGCGTTGCACCATCGTTGGTAAAAAAACTGGCTGTGGGGCCGACTCGTCAGCAAAATTCTCGAAAACGCAACATAAAAAAAGGTCCGAGCAAAGTAAAATCAATAGGAAAAAGCGGCACTCGAGCAAAGAACGGCCCAAAGTTCAGGAAAAAGGTAATTCTGTAGAAGTCATGGAAGAGGTGGGTCCTTCACGGATTTCAACTGTAAGCGAATCCTCAGCAGTTCACCAAATTCACTATTAGCTTATGGTTATTTCGTTGAATGGCATGAATCTTCACAGATTTGGTTTAGAGCAGATATACTTCATCACCAACGTGAAGCTCCTGTGAGCTGTATAGCTTGCTTTTCTCTAGGGACTAATTTCGCAGCAATTACTGATTTGATTGTTATCAAACTGGACTAAGGCAAGTGCAATCGCGTACTGGAACAGATAATTATGATGACTCAATCCATACTTTTCTTTCGCGCCAACCTGCGCCCGAAACGGATGCACGGCGCATTCCAAAGTGCTGATCGATCGGATTACGGATTTTCATTGCTAACTTTTTTTACTAGATTAGAAGTGATCCCGAATTGTCCTTTTTTTCTTAAATACTTCCTGTGATCTCTGTTTTGGCCTATATTCGGTTGTTAGTTTTTTTGTCATTTTTTTCAGGATTTTTTTCACACGCATGCGACTTTTTACGACGTCTGCACTATTTGTTCAACAGCTGTGTGATATGACGTCGGCCACTTGAAAAAAAGAGCATGCCGTTGTCCTTTTTTCAGATGTTTTTCATCTCCCTTGAAAGTCCATGCGAAGGGGATTTTCTTGAGAAGAATAGCAGTGGTCCTTTTTGAGTCTAAATCAAAAAGTTGCACTTCCCATGTAGGAATCCCCTCGAAGTGGGTAAAAGGTCAATAGGATGAAAAACCCCAGAGTTCATAAAAAACTTGTCAAATAGTGCCACGTGCTCGATTTCCAGTCAGTTGTGTTAGGCCTAAAAAACGGCTTGCACGAGGTCTGAAGGGCGGGGAAGAGAGCGAAGGAGGAGGGATCAGTGTTTTAAATAGGACCGATCACCCAGACAAACCGAACCAAACGACTCACCTCGAAAAAGGTGCCATTCAGGATTTGGTGGCATTGTAACAAGGGTTTATTATAAATTTCCTCCGATATACCCGTGAAAAAAAAGCGATGCCCAGATGATAAGCTGGGAAAAGGGGAGTGTTGGTAAGGCAACTTCTCAGTTTAACACAAGCATCAGCTGGTTGGTTCACTACTCGAAGAATGGATGATCTCCGACCTTTCTAGTACCTAATCGCTATCCATTTGGTCGACCTGAGACACAAGTTTGGAACTACTTGATGCTGTCGATAGGCGGCAGCGCATTCTTCTTTGCCACCTGCTGGGACGCTCTTCTTTCTTTTGGGGGAATGTGCTATTGAAGCTTTGCCTAGCGGAGAGAACTCATAGTCAGAAAAACCACTACCCGCGGACTGATTCTTTATATACATTGTTGTCCGAGTACAATGAGTAAGTATGAACTATTTTTTTATGATTCTTCCTTCCAGGGCCATCTTGTCCTCTGACCATGTGTGTGGTGACGTCGTCGCTTGTTACCATTTCGCATTTGCCCTGTCCAGAAATAGGGTCAAGGGCGTGCCAGGACATCCGCGGCAAAAAGCCGAGTGTTCGACTTTGTTCGACTCTTTGGTAAACTAGCTTCTGAGCCTCCTGAACTAAGCAGGACAAATGCAAAGTACTGTGTCTTTTTACGGTGGAAGCTTTCCTGGGGTGCAATATCTTTCGGGAATGCGGGAGCGAAGGTGGGAGGAGCTTCCGTCGTTTCTTCTGCTCCTAACTTTGAAGTTTATAAAGTACTGGGTTGAGATGCTCAGGATAATGGGTACATCATTTGGCGTGTGTTTTTCGAGAGAAAGAGCCATCACGTCGCTCGACCTTCCAATAGAGTACTGTCTTCTAGCCTCCTACCGATCACCAATAATAAGTAGCGCTACTATTATTCTATACTATTTGCTGGACCAATTGTTTTGCGAGCTTAACAAGTTGACGAGGTATGTAAGCTCAGGATTTCGAGTGAGGAAATGGTAAGCGTATAAAGTGGAGGGCGACGAGAATCGGAGTGGCGACATATAAGTTGGTATTCTCACGGACTCGCGTAAGCGCTTGGCAATCCACCGCACGGCTCTTGATAAAAATGGTTCCTATAAATAAAAGATCCCCACAGGATGAATTTGAGGCCCCCGCGTATACCATACCTGGCCCCCGCGTATACCATACCTGGCACTATTAGGCTGGAAAACGGTCTAGTTAGGGAGTTATGAAGGCTCAAAGATTGGCCAGTTTGTATCCTCGGACGAGTTTGTCTGGCATTGTAGAGGCTGCACCGATCACAAGGGAAACCATGTAGGAAGCTCAAAAGGCTTGTCATGATCCATAGCGGCAGGGAAAGATAGTTTTGTACAGTTCTGGCTTGTTGTAGTCAGCTTTTTGCGCAATTGCAATAACTGAAATCTCGTCAGAATACCCCTTCCATGTTATTTCCGTCGTGGCTATCTCGTCCAAACCCTATTTTCCCTACTATTGAGGAGCCATATTTTCCTCGGAATCGGCGAATTCTCTCGCTTTCTTCTCTACTGATAAACTATTCCTGATCTCCACTTCCACTTTTCGAATGAAAACGGGTACCTCCAAATTATCGTGAACTGTGCCTTCAAATGTGAGAGCAAAGGAAACTTAAATTTTGCTTTTGTGAATTTCAATGGCATGAATACGGTGGTAGAGATGACGTATCGACACGGGTTTTTTGGCCACGAAAGGAGCCAAATATGACTTTCCTGTCCTGGACTAATGAAGATGTTCATAAGGAGGTTTATCGTTCTTCAAAGAAAATATGACCTTGAAATTATTACACGCCGCTCTCACGATCACCGTACATCCTTTAAAAGATCGATCTTTAGGGTAAGATTTTTGCCAGACAGGCTTATTCTGCCCTCGCTTTCCAGGAACCGGTGATGGCCTCATCGTGGAACTAGCAGAACACTCATCCCGACGTTATTGTAGAGCCTGAATGAGATGACGTTTCATGTCAAGAAAGTATTCACTGCTGCTTCCGCTCCGGCGGATATGGGGGCCTTCCTTTGATCAAGAAGTACCACACTTTGGAATATTGATGAGCCACGATGTTTCGAAACTTGACTATGACTATACGTTCAAAAAATTTATTCATAAACTGAGCTTATATCCTTATAAGTAGTGCTCTGGAACAGTCGACGGACAAAAAATCTTGAAAATCTTCTCATGATCTTGCAAAATGTAAAAAACATTTGAACTACTCAATAAAGCTACCTAAAAACGAAAAAAAGTAGTAAGCAGGTGAGTGAATGATGAACGTTTATCACAGAAAATGATTGCTTGACACTCGCCGAATGAATCTTAGGCATTCATTCAATTCGACGATAATTACCAATTTCGTAAAAATCTTCAAAATGAATCATTGAATTGCCCAACCCACATCATGCATCGAGTGTATTCAGTATAGTACAGATCGTTCTCTGGACGGCTGCAGTGACCATCTCAAGGGTGCAGTTGGAATCGAACGGAGGCACATGGATGAATATCGATCGACTGGCATCAATTGAAAGTGATACGTAAAACGAGTACGCACACAGGTACCTGAAACCCTATCACACCATATCGAAACATCATTAGGCTTTTTTTTTCAAGAAATTTCGACGCAAAAGAAAATTAGCCAGTTCCTTATCACTATCGGTTCGTCAAATTACCTAGGTTTTAAAGTCATGGCATAGTATCTATCGAAAAGACGGCAATAGTCCAGATTTTTCTAGCAGGGTTGTGGAAGTTCCCATAGAACTACTGAATAAGGGCACTACTGACTTGTGGGCCTAAAACATATCCGCCTTCCTCTTACTTGCTTATTTAACCCCAGAATTGCCTGAATGTCCCTCTTCATTTGACCGGGCCTCTTCACGAGTTTGAAACGGCTGCTAAAGCTTATTGAAGCTTGTGTCGAGTATTCGGCTCTGGAGCCTGTCCTCCAGTGGCAGCGCTTGATTACGACACTTCAAAGCAAAACAAGAATTTCAAAGATAAGCCTCGCCCTGGTTGACCGAATCGTTCGACAAACCGGATATGATACGCGCATACAAGGGCGTAGTGTCCTTATGTACTAGGAGCTCTCAAAATATTCTAGAAAAAATCTGGGCTATTGTGAAATTTTTGCACATACAAAATTTTCCAAACGCCCGGATGTCTCATGTGGGGAAGTGGAACTTTTTGGACGTATTTCTTCCCTTAACGCTGCAAAATGACCAGATCGAAATGAGGTTAAAATTTAAATATTCTCAAATGTGATTTAATGGATAGGTCTACTGGGTACAAGGCTTCTTTCGCTGCTTAACTGAAGAGCACCTGGAATCGTCAGTGCCACTTCTTTCAGACCCTTACAACTAAGCAACAACAACAACCACAAGTGAAGGAGAATCATGGTATCAAAGTACGCTTCTCATGAATATATCTTCGTAACCAGGTACATATATGGACCAAGATTATATGGCACCTCTGGCATTTTTTATCCTTCAACTTTATAACGGATGGCCAGACGGAAAAAAAATCCAGCTAAGCCTGACAAACGTCTTCGAGTGCCGTCGTGATGAGAGGATTAAGGTCTTGCGATTCGAGCTCTCAGTATTAATGTCACTGTTCAACGAACGTATTGATAGCACTGTTGCAAGCAAATTCACAAATTCTACAATAATTTTGCTGGAATAAATACACCTCCGCTCTATATGAAAGTGCCCGGCTGACCAAAATGAAGTAGGCACACAAATGGTATAGTCGATTATGAATAAAGATCGAAGGAGCAGATTGAGGGAAGGGAGGAATTATCAAATTCGTTTTTTTTCACAGCGATTCAAACAGACCCTCTCAGCCAAACTACATGCGGATATTTGGGCAAAGCTGGAATATTATCAAATCTATTTCTAGTAATAGCACATTCGATTAAAACCGACACTAGTTCATTACAGTAGATGATGTAACTAGTCGTCTCTCAGGGAATGACGGTGACGTGCGCAGCACATTGAAAGCCTAATTTGCAGCATCTTTTGGAGCATAGCAGAAAACCAGAGATTTGATCTAAGGATGAGGATAATCACAGTCAGACAGACACGGTTTCAAATGATTTAGGCTGATTGCTTGAAAAGACGGTTGAGTAATACTAAATCCAATTACTTCGCAAATACTTCGAACTTTTTCCTAGATCCTCCCGACCCTGAGAAGGAGGACTCCTGATTTTTCAGCGCACACTGGGACGTGAAGGTGCGGAATCACGACACGATATACTTTCAAATTTAAAAAAATTAGAGATCATCTTGGTCTTCAGGAAAATTGTAAAAAAATATAGGGATAAAAAGGAATCAAATATTTCTGGATACAAATGATATCCTACTCACCTTCCGGGATCATCGGAGGCGGTGATTTTCAAATGTTTCAAATTGAGATCTTGTGAGACCTTTGAAGCGATTTGTTCGCAGTTAATGGAAGTACGTAAAATAGGTTCCGTACATGTTGTGCAGATATTGTTGACAGGTACACATCCTTAAAAATAGGATTAGATTGGTTGAGACGGTCCGAAGGTATTTATTCATATAAAATGAAGAAAGCTCCTGCGGCTAGATTCTGCTGAACGATAAATAAATATAAGCAAAATAAATATAACAAATAAATAACTTGTCATTCATATTACTCGAAGATTGGTTACAGTGCTTACCGTCGACGTCATATCTACAGTATCCGCGACCGAATGATTGTTGCTCCAGTTTTATGTGATGATATTCTCCATGTACTCCAATATGTACAACCAACTGGAAGAAAAAAAGAAAAACTTCATTCGAGTAATGTACGGTAGTCCTACATAACCTCATGAGTTTGAATAAAACGGCGTATGTTCCTCAAGGATTTCTGTCACTTTGTTAAAACTTCCTATACGAAAATAATGACGTGACATATATGCTTTCGAAACTGTTAGGTTGAGTCATAAGTCTTCGGACAAATTGCAAAGATATTATTTATCTTACAATTTTTAAACGACAACAGCAAATCATTTGAAATATGCCCCGTTGGCATTGATGGTCTTCTGCCAATGCTTGGGCAGATCGTAGATTCCCTTGCTTTAGAACGCTGGGAGCTGGCCCTTGGAGAACTGCTCAAGTGCTATTTTGATGTCGTCGCGGGTTTGAAAGTCTGACCATTCAGATGACGTTGAAGATGGGGAAAAAGGTGGTAATCCGAGGGATCCAGATCTGAGGAACATGGTTGGTGTGGTAAACTTGTTCTGCCGGAATTCGTCAGTTCAGTTCCGGTCGTTCTTGCAATGTGAGGGCGAGCGTTGTCCTTCTGGAAGTAAACTTTGTGCTGCTGTGGACGTGTAGC